GGGGGAAATGGTTGAAATCCACATTACTAGTCACCGAAGCATCGTAACAAAATGTTCCACAATCACATGAAACCAACATTATTCATACGAAGCCAAATATGAAGAGTTATGGCCTTGAAGGAACACATGGCGCCTTCACATAAACAATCCTGACGCGGAGAATGAGACAGCGTACGTAGTTCTGAGCAATGAATATGTACATGTGCTTCGTGAAAACAAGTTAGCACACCGAATGGAGCTAGCGAAACAATTCCGTTCGAACCACAGCCTTATTTACAGACACTTGAATGCACTCCGAAAGTTGCAGCGTGGAATCGCACCACTCAGTACGATTGGCGGGTATACACACACAACGAAAAGGTCGGACAACCCCACAATGCCCAGTACTGGCCTACTTTCTAGGGGGTACTAGCCTCAAACCTTATATTTGTTTCTGTCCCAACACCATCAGTGTTATCCGGCATCAAATTCATGGCAAAAGTGGTTCTGAAAACGTTAACATCCTTGGATAACCTTCACCCTAACACACTGCAGTCAGCAGGCATTCACCTAGCCCAGCCACTTGCCGGATTCTTTCAGAGAAGTCCGTCTGATCCTACCAATTACCGTCCGGTAACACTTCTCTCTGCCCTTTCCAAGGTCATGGAAGCTATTATCGTTAAAGTAATGATGGACTACTTGGAAAACGTAGGCAATGCATTATTAGGATGGGTTGGTAATTTGCTCCGTGAACAGCAGTTCTAGGTTAGAATCCGAACATCTCTCCCCGACCCTAATCTAGTGGAGTGCGACGATCTTGCGAGAGCCATCAACTCAAAACTTTTACTTTTCCGGATGACGTTAAAAGTTGGCCGGGGATCAAGGGGATGTACGACCACAAAATCCTCCATGTGCGACCTAGTGGGGACCTGGCATTGACCGGTGAGGAATTCACTGCCATTAAATGTGGTCAAGTGACACATTATGAACATCCGCCATAGACACGCCTATCTAGAATATTGAGGCATATGACCTGCAGAAAAGCCCTCAGGAACTTGACCTTAGTGTGCTAGTGCAGGACGATTTCGGTTATTCCAGACATCGGAATCCAAAAGTGGTAACCAGCACGTTGTTAGCTTGCGGATGGCATTCGAAAGTTTGGATTAATTCATCTTCTCTATGATGCTCCATGTCTAAGTGCGCTAACACGTCGAATACGTAATCTAGGCTTGGCACGCTTGAAACTCACCATGGTCGAACAGCGACTAAATACACTCGGAGTCTTCAGTAGCCGCTACAGGTGGCTACGTGGAGACCTCATATTAGTCTACCAGATACGGAACGACCCCACGTACACATGTTGCCACCTGCTGCAACTCATCCCGAACACCAACTTCACAGGCAATAGCCTGAAACTGAGTCAACAACACAGTCGGCTTTTCATTAACGCGGGACGAGCCTCAGCTCATAGCGACTCAGTGATTCCGCCATAAGTAGCCATCGAACGTTTCGGTGCCTGCACTGTTTATGTGCTCAACGGCAGCCTGGACGTTAAGAATTCTATCCGACCGGACGCATCATTAGCGCCATTTGCCAGCGGACCAGTTTAGTCGTTAACACATTTGTGAAAGAGGATAAGTATATTAACAGAAATGTATTGGAACGATCAGCTATGCTAATGAAGGATATGTTCAAAATGTCCGCCGGCATTCTGCTTGCAGTGCAGAAACCGCTTGATGCAATTGGCGAGCACTTTCTCCAACGTATCCCTCGTGATCACAATATTTTCTTTCAAATGGTCCAATGTACCCGGCCTTGTTTTGTACACTCGCCGCTTCAGATAGTGCCATAGAAAAAGTCCATGGGGTTGAAATCTGGTGAGCGAGCAGGCCACTGCACTAGTCCACCGCGTCCGATCCAATGGTGGCCAAATTTGTCGGTGAGGTACGCACGCACCGTTTTAGCAGAATATGCAGGTGCACCATCCTGCTGCCACCAAATGGTACTGCATGCCCCTTCGGCCTCCAACTGGGGAAGCACAAATCTCTGCAGCATTTTCAAATACGACCATGCTAGGAAAAGATAAGGCTTTAGTACTTCAAAACAACAACATACCGGTCACATTCCCGGAAAAGAAATATGGGCCCAAGATTTTCCGGCTTGTTAATCCGGTCCAAACCATCAGTTTCACACTGTGGTACATACTTGATGCGGTAGATTTTCGTGGGGTGCTGGTGGCCCAACAGTAATGTTTCATTGTTCCATGCAGACGAAACAATGCCTCATCTGTAAAAATAACAACGAATATCCCCGTGATCCAGAAACCAGCGGCAAAATTCATGCCGCTTCTCCGGATCGCAGGGGTTCAAAACCTGCACTTGAAGTGCACGGAATCTTCCAAACGTTCGTTACTGTAATATCCGGTGTACCGCATATCGGGTCGTGTCACAGTGATGTGCGGTCCGACGAATGCTGAGATCGGGACTTTTTGACACTTCACTGACTACGGCGCAAATTGAACAGTCGTCCGTGGTGATGCGAGGCGGTCCGGGTCTCTTCATGTCACACACACACTCCCAGTTTGCTCGAACTCCTTTGCTAGTTTAAGCACGCACCGGGCGGTGACGGGACGCATTCCTGCGTTCATTGCATTGTATTTTCTTGAAGCTAATGCGGCGTTTAGACCGCATTCACCGTACAGCCGAATAATCAGCGCGCGCTGAGTAACAGGCACGCTACGTGGTCCCGACTGCATTGTCTGCTCGTGCTCCATTGCCTGTGATTCAATAACATTGACAAGAGTTGCAATGCCTAACTTCGTCCTCAGCTGAGCTGCCATCACGTGCGCACATTCACGTCGTAGTTTTGGTTGGTCGCTGCGTAGCCAGCGAGACACACAGAGGTATCCATCGATCACTCCAACGCCTACGTTTGGCCATGACCTTCAGCGCGAAGTTAGCTGAGAGCTAGCGAACGCCGGAAACATGTTGTTTGTACTCATCTCGCTCGATGATCAACAGCCTCATGTCGGTGTCTTTTGAGGTTACTCTTTTTCTCAACTGAGCCCTGCACTAAATCACTCCTTTGCCGAGACTTCCATACGTCCGCGCCACTAAGGTGTGAGAGAAATGCATGTCACTGCACGCGCAGTAGCATGCTGCGAATTTCGCTGAACATTGGATGGCTATTGGATGTGGGGGGCAACAACCGCAAATGACCGGCGTTCACCATAAGCGAGCTACGTTAGGTAAATGAACACTAATCGGCCTTCTTCCTTGAGACGAACCGTAAGTGCTCCACATTCGCAAGGCGCAATGTAAACACGTAATCAATCTGACACCAGGAACCTTATATGCATTGAGCCAGAGAAACAGAGGTTTTGGGACGAATAGGGATTGGGTAGATTGTAGGGGGTGTCAGACTCAGGAGGTCACTGATTGAGATAGGGCAATGGGGATTCTACTATAATGCTCGTAGTTCAGGTACGGTAATGCTGTTGTCAGACGGTGTTCCAATTATTTCCATTGGCTATAAGAGTAGACCAATAAGAGATGGTGTTACAATTTACGGGCGAAAAAGCCATACTCCAAAGATTGAACCAACGGTCTAAAGCGTCAGACGCCATGGAACCGCGGCCTATGCCGCTAACTTCCTAATTGGAGACAACTTAACATTAAATGCAAAGAGAAGTAGTACCAGGTTTGCGAGACGATCGAATTATTCGTTGACACGCAGAAGCAGTTCACCCCTGAAAAACCACTAGTTACGAGCGTCTTTTGATTATGCAGCAGTACAATTTGTGTATACCCTGCCAAATATGATGAGAACCAGGACAGCAGCTGATGCGATATACCGATCGACTGAAGCTTAGTCAACAGACCCGTATGCGGAATGCGGTCGAAATCCTCCTTCATGTCAAGGAAAACAATGACAAGTGCATTGTTTGAATTTATTTCTGAAGTTAGAGGATCTAAGAACTCATGTTGGCACGTCTCAAAGGACTTCGACAGTAAGGCGCTAGGTTGAGACTTGCCAATTAAGTTGTACGGCAACACGAAATCAAAAATTTGTTCCTTGACTATCCTCTACACCACTCGTGATGTGATAGGCGTGACTGATTGAATAGGTTATTAATGTTCTAGCGACAGTCACGCATTTATCTTGGTAGGACAACTGAATGCTTAAATGCGGCAGGATAGAGGCTGGTTCTCACTGGTAGAGTGAGTGTTCGAGTAGGACATCAAGACCACCTAGCTTCAGCACTGCAATAAGCACGTCATTGGGACCAGGGTAGAAGGGCAGCTTGGGCGAACTGCTCACCCCAAGAGATAGTGCGCAGAAGAAAGGTTATGCCGCATTCTAACGACAGATACGTGAACTAGGGATTATCATTTTATCCTCAATGAAGGAGTCGCAAAAATGCCTGTTTATGATCTCACAGTACTGTTTGATCAGTAACCACTATTATCCGGAAGCACTAACAATCTTATAGGAAGCTCATCACGAGTACTACTGTGGTTCGGAAACTGCGACGAACTCCTGAAATTATAGCAAAATCTTCGATACTCATTAGCAATCTAAAACCCGTGCGTATAGCTTCTGTGATAGGCCATACACAATTGCTATGAGGAAAGTCTTAGCTCTTTAGGCCAAGTATTTTTCGTCTGCACAGTTCGTAACTGGCATGGCAGTGGAGGGTGAGCCGGGCTATATCGTAGTCAACTGCCACGCATGCACGTTCACCGCCGTCTGTGTTTCTTCACCGTATAATGGTTTCATTGTTTCTATAGGATGAAACTCTTAGTCTCATTGTATTTGGACGGCAATTTTGAGCTTGGCAAACAATCTTTATGAAATATACGTGGTTGGATGTGAGCTCGGTCCACATCCGTGTTGCTATGGTATGGACTAATCTGCTGCCAAAATTTTTCAGAGAACTGACCACCCCATAAAAAGTACAGAGCTTAAGACTTTAACCTGTCACATAATAGCGCATTTCCCTTAACAAAACGCTAACACAACAGGTCAAATGGGTTTAATTAGAAGCACAATGTAAAGTCACACAGATACAAATGCGTCAAAAGTTGCGGTGTGCAAGCCCCCTGCAAAGTGACGGTGTGTTCCACGGCGAAGGATTGCAGGCATGTAAATGCACTGGGTCAAGTAATCTAGGTCTGCTGATGTGTCCGAAAATAGTGATTTGCACGTAAGTGTCACAGTACCGCTTATATCCAATCCCACTGGGAGACCGAAGTACCGAAGAAAAACATTCAAGGACACTTCATATATTGCAAACCATTGCCACATAAAGAGAATTGTCGCAGCTTCGCCTGAGTCAGTTGCCTTTGTGCAAATGTGTTATGGTTTGAAGTTGTATAGCTGCAATAAAAGAGCAGTAAGGAATAATGAATGCGTGGATTGTTTGCGCCTAACTGCAATAATACTAATTATTCTTAATAAGACAACAATGAAAAAAGTATACTTTCCGTTACGAGGTGCATTGGCCTCTGACTTTCGAAGTGAGTGTACTCCAAATTCGCAACAATGGATAGATCATTTACGAGACAATTACTCTTCAATCGGATACGGTTAGATGTTGTTTGTGCTAGATTGCAAAGTTATTTGAGCTGATTACGTTTCAAGGATATTCAACTACGACTGGTATGACCAAACTGATTCAGTGCGGAACAGTGTATTGAGAACCATAGACGTGTGGCTTCCTTATCTAGCAGAATGGCAACCAAATCAGTAGAAGACATAACCAAACTCTAATCGCACCTGTATCCAAATGCACAGCAAAAAGCTACTGGAAAGCCATCATTCTTGCGTGGTGGGCACGTGTCTTTATTGCCGTAATGACTTTACACGGCCATTGAGGATTGCAAGCTTCTCTCACACTAGATGTGCTAGCAACTGTTCACAGATCGGTCGCATCTATCTGGATTGCTTGAGTCCAATGCAACAACTGTATCAGGATTAAAACAGCTGATAGCGCTCAAAGGATGTAGATCAGTGTAAAATCAGTCCTACTCTCCCTAGGACACTGCTACATACCTTCAGTCAGTGTATGAGGAATAAAGCAGCTAACACCAAGTGGACGTTTGACCACCACCAATAATGGCAGACGGACAGTTGGTACATATTATCCACGCGGTCAATAGGACAGGGTTCCATGCATTAGGATCACTGTAAGGGTGCACTGCCATACAAGAAAAGAGTGAATCTGGATTCAGCCTTTTTGGCGGTGCTTCTCCCAGCCTGGTTCCATCACGTGACCTTGCAGGGTCGCTGCGCACGCCTGAACCTTTGAAACATTTACATCGCTTGCATGTGTGCCAAAAGGACAGTGGGCGCCGAATTACATACACACAACTCTGTGCCCTTTCCAAAGGGCCCCAAGGCTGTTCGCTTAGTCACGGTAACAGGCAAACCAAACGAAGGATGGCGCCGACTGCGACTGACAACGTTAAATTTGGAGATGCACAGCGGAACACTGAGTTCTTTAGTGCCCCGTTCAAGCGATCTAAAAGGCGCAATCATTTCCCTTCAAGTCAGAAGAACAATACAAGCAGACGTTAAGGGTAGCATGGCGGAGTACACCGAAAGTGCTACGCTGTAACCCAGATGGTTGAGTAAGAATATAACAGGGTTTTCAGATTTACACTTACCCGAGTGAACGCATTTGATATGCCTGCGCAGAATGTGACTCCGAGTAAACGATGCACCACACTGTTCACATTTAAAGGGGCGTTGTTCTAGAAAGGAAAATTGAAAGTGAATAGCTACAAATTAATTGCGCTTAGAAGGCAGAGAAGAAAAAGGGGTCGGGAGTATGCATATGATAGCATGAAAAAGCCTTAACAACAACCACTGAAACCGAAGATTTGTGTTTTGTAGCGGCGAATGGTATGAGACAAGAAATAGCTGGGAGACAGATTTCATGAAGTCTATTGTCAGCAACGACCTCATTCCAATATTGTTACCAAGAGAGAGAGCGAGCAGAGTCAACGGTCCTATAAACAGACAGAGAGCTAGACAAAAACATGATGTTCAGCCGCAGCATCATTATTACCATAGCACATTGGTTGAAAGTGAGCAACACACTTCAGCTATTGCAGCGTAAGAAATAAAAACAGATTTCTGTTATTTTTTCATACGCCATTTATGTTTTGTTTTCATTTTTTAACTGTTACGCGTTAGGTATCTGAATGTGAATAAGTATGTACACAGATCTTCAAATGGCTTCGGTAGCCAGCCATACCCTAAATCGTTTCGAGCCATCGGCACTCTTGGTCCTCAACCAGGCAGCTGTGTGGATCCAATGGTAGCAAGACGTGAAGTTAATAATTTTATATCCTGTCGCCAGGTAGATGGTTGAGCACTGCTTGGTCGCCTCTAGTCGAGTCTTACAGGAGTGAATAGAGCGCGACAGGGCAAACACAGATGACATACGCAAGACGTGGCCAAACTATCTTAACTGGCGCAGTAAAACCACCTTGTTGAAGAGAATACTCGCATTCACTAAGACGCAACGTCTGACTTTACCGTTGCAAATACGCTGTGGCCACCACACACGAGCAATTCTCCTCAAGCACACAATATCGAAGGCCAAGAGCAGACACATGTGATCTACGCGAAGTACCCATGACTCGCTTCCATATGGCAACACCGCACGAACTGTGGTATTGTAAACACGATCCTTTACCAAGGGAGGGACATCTAGACGATGCCAAAATTGTTGCAGGTTGACAAACGCAGACGGGGCTTTGGCAATGGGGAGGGAAACTACTTTGCTGATAAAGCCACCAGCAGGCATGCAACTGCAGTTATACAAAGGTGTCACCAGGTTCAAGTCCTGTGCCTTCAAGAGTCAGCACAGAAACGAGAAAGTGCCAATCCTGAAGCAGCACTTCACATATCGTTGCGGTAAAGAACATTCCGCACTTGGATGCCTAAATGGCCAAGCGGTTTAAAATGGTTTGCATACTCTGCGGGTCGTCGTCAAGTAGTTCGATGTCATGGGCATACTCTATGTCGTTGCTCGCTTGCCCGGTAGTAGTTGCAGACCAAAATGCTGGCAACGCTTCAAATATCTCGACAGATTGTCTTCAATTGCAAAATTGAAGAGGAATGGTGATATAAGGCAGCCCCGTCGTACACCAATATTGACAGCGAAAAATGAAAAAAACGTGCCATAGACACTCACTCTACCGGAAACGTGGAGGTAGAGTGCGCAGAGGACGACGGTGTACTTTTATGTAACCCCGTTCCTTAGCAAACAACGCCACAGCGTAGGTCGATCAGCCGAGACAAACGCAGCACGAATGTCTAAGAATGCAACGACGACAGGCCCCTGGAAGAGGTGGCGGTGTGAAAGGATTTGGCAGAGAGTGATTATTTGATCCACACACGCACGGCCAGGACGGAAGTCAGCTTGTTCTTCCCGATACTGTGATTCGTGAATCGAAGATAGACTATGAAGCAGCTTTGAAGAAACCAAAATGAGACTAATCTCCCGGTGATTTGCGCACAAAGTTCGGACACCCCCTTAAAAACAGACAATAACAGACTCGCCTCAGAAAGAAGGTACATTTTCTTCGTGCCAGATTTCGGAGAACAATGATGGTTAGCTGACTAGTGAAAACTGCGCCATCAGATTTGAACAGCTCCGGAGGAAGTCCGTCTGCGTTGTCAGTGTCGAAGCGCAAGACAAACCTTCGCCTCACTGAGTGGATCAAGTGTGAAAACCCAGAGGTATTTGACAAACAGGTTCGTCCCTGCTATTCAAAAGATGGAAAGTGATCTAAGTAGATTCCTATATGTAGTACGTAGGAGAAGCAACATGTGAAGCTGGTTCGACCAATTCTGTTCAATAATCTGGAGCAAACTACTGCAAAAAGCCATTCTTACAGAGGTCCGATAGAAACGATTCCATGAATAATACGTGCAAAAGATGGCTTCTGTGTTAGATGAAAAGAGTACGCTCAAAAATAGGATAGACTCGTGACTTCTCCTGGCCTGTTAGACTGGATAAGCTTTTGACTAGCTTGAGTAGATTCATCTCACGGGCAGAAGAAAAGCGAGCATTGACACGCGACAATAAATCTGACACCTTGATCAAGCTGCTGAAGGTCAGGAAAGATGGTCATGTCAAATCGGTGTCATGCGTCATAGTACCTGACAGCGATCCATGACCAGGGATCCCACCATAATAGGGAAAGTTTTGAATGCGCAATTTCCGCTATGTTTACAAAATTCAATCGTAAACTTAAGCTCAGCGTTCCCGTTGGCAAACTGCACACAGTGAAATTCAGTTGCTGTGTCAATCGGGCAAACTGGGATCGGTTACGAGCTTCGTCTCACGCATGATCTGAGGATATACGAACCTCCCTAGTATTGATTGGTGGCCAACACATAAAATAATCATTATAACTCGTTTACTATATCTACGAATTCAAAGCTTTTCACGAATCAATGGAAGTTCGAAGTTACAGAGCAGAAATAAAGGAAACATTCGCACAAATAGTTACACACCAATTAGTTCAAATATAAGGGAAATCATAGTAAAAGAAAAAGGTCAAGTACTTATAGTCACTGAATTTCAAAAACCAGACTGAACACGGGTTCTCGCAGAAATGCTACTGCCAAACTTAACCTTTTGTATTTTCAAACAATATGACCACCGCGAATGACTATAGGGTTAGTCTGACGGAAGAAGACCGATTAGCGTTCATTTATCTACCGTGGCTCGCTTATGGTGAACGCCAATCATTTACGGTTGTTGTCCCCAACATCCAATAGCCATCCAATGTTTAGCGAAATTCGTAACATGCTACTGCGTGTGCGGAGACATGAATTTCTCTCTCACCTTGTGGTGCGGACGTATGGAATTCTCGGCAGACGAGTGATTTACTGCAGAGCTCAGCTGAGAAAAAGTATAAGCTCTAAAGACGCACCGACATGAGGCTGTTTTGATCATCGAGCGAAATGAGTACAGACAACCACAACGTGTTTCCGGCGTTCGTTAGCTCGCAGCTAACTTCGCGCTGAAGGTCATAGCCAACCGTGGGCGTTGGAGCAATCGATGGTTAGCTGTGAGTGTCTAGCTGGTTACGCAGCGAAGTCGGCCTAGACAACTAAAACCGCGGCGTCAATACACGCACGTGATTGCAGCTCAGCTGAGGATGAGGTTAGACATTGCAACTCTTGTCAATGTTATTGAATCACAGGTAATGGAGCACGAGCAGACAATGCAGTCGGGATCACGTAACGTTCCTGTTACTCAGCGCGCGCTGATTATTCGTCTGTACGGTGAATGCGGTTTAAACGCCGCATCAGCTTCAAGGAACTACAATGCAATGAACCCTGGAATGCGTCCCCTCACCGTCCGGTACGTGCTCAAACTAGTGAAGAAGTTCGGGCAAATTGGGAATGTGTGTGTGTGTGTGTGTGACGTGAAGAGATGCTGACCGCCTCGCATCACCACGGACGACTGCTCAGTTTGCGCTGTAGTCAGTGAAGTGTCAAAACGTCCCGATATGTGGTGCACCGAATATTACTGGAATGAAAATTTCGGAGATTCCGTGCACTTCAAGTGCAGGTTTTGACCCCCTGCGATCCCGAGAAGCGGCATGAATTTTGCCGCTAATATCTGGATCACGGGGATACTCGTTCTGTTATCTTCACAGATGAGGCATTGTTTCATCTGCATGGAACAATAAAACATTACTCTTGGGATACCAGCAACCCACGAAAATTTACCGCATCACGTATGTACCACAGTGTGAAACTGATGGTTTGGACCGGATTAACAAGCCAGAAAATCTTGGGCCCATATTTCTTTTCCGGGAATGTGACGGGTAGGTTGTGATTTTGTAGTACTAAAGCTATATCCTTTCCTAGCATCTTCCCACTTGGAAATCCTCCAGACATTTGTGCTTCCCCAGTTGGACGCCGAAGGTGCATGAAATACCATTTGGTGACAGGAGGATGGTGCACCTTCACATTCTGCTAAAACGGTGCGTGCTGACTTTACCTACAAATTTGGCCACCATTGGATCGGACGCGGTGGACCAATGGAGTGGCCTGCTCACTCACCAGATTTGAGCCCCATGGATTTTTTCTACTGCGCTATCTGAAGCGGCGAGTGTACAAAACAAGACCGCGTACATTGGACCAATTGAAAGAAAATATTGTGAACGAATGTCGCGCGATCACGAGGGATACATTGAAGAAAGTGCTCGCCAATTGCATCAAGCGGTTTCTGCACTGCAAGCAGAATGCCGGCGGACATTTTGAACATATCCTTCACTAGCATAGATGATCGTTCCAATACATTTCTGTTAATATACTTATCCTCTTTCACAAATGTGTTAACGACTAAACTGGTCCGCTGGCAAATGGTGCTAATGATGCGTCCGGTCGGATGGAATTCTTAACGTCCAGGCTGTCGTTGAGCACATAAACAGCGTAGGCACCGAAACATTCGATGGCTACTTATGGCGGAATCACTGAGTCGCTATGAGCTGAGGTTCGTCCAGCCTTAATGAAAAGCCGACTGTGTTGTTGACTCAGTTTCAGGCTATTGCCTGTGAAGTTGGTGTTCGGGATGAGTTGCAGTAGGTGGCAACATGTGTAAGTGGGGTCGTTCCGTATCTGGTAGACTAATATGAGGTCTCCACGTAGCCACCTGTAGCGTCTACTGAACACTCCGAGTGTTTTTAGTCGCTGCTGGTACGAAAGGTTGCACAATCTC